GAGGAATCAAAGAGGATCATTACAGTGATGGCACCTTTTCTCCTCTCACCTAGAATCAGGTGAGATGAATTCTAAAAGGACATCTTAAGACTCTCTGAGGAATCGGACATCTCATTTCCCGTTTGAATTTTTGTTTATAAGGTAAACTAGCATGGCCATCCTCAGTACCTACTGAAGTAAAGAGAAAAAAGAATTCGAGAGACATGGCAGAATAGTTAGTACTCCCACTGTCTGACATAGCAAGGTTGTGTGAGTTGCCAGTAGGTCAAGTGGACCATAGGAGACAGCTAGGTTTGGACCACTTTGCCATTCTTTCTGGAGATGTCTCCTTCTAGAAGAGGACAGCTCAGCAGCTAAAGGCTATCAGTACATTGCCTTGGTAATAAGCTGAAGGGGGCTTCCTTCCATGAAGGAAGTGGTCACACCAGAGGAATCATTCAAGTTCAGATACTGGGCAGTAGGAGGACCGCCTGCATGATATCCAAGTGAACTCATCCACAACCATCCAGAGGGCATCCAAATCAAGAGAGAATAGTTAAGTAAAGAGCTTTTTGCTTCTCTTTCTTTATCCCACCTTCCAAACACTGCACACAAGGTGGGGAGAAAAGGATCCCAGGAAGGGAAGCAGAATAGAAGGATGGGTTAGGTGGGGCGCCTGAGTGGCGCAGTCGGTAAAGCGTCCGACTTCAGCCAGGTCACGATCTCGCGGTCCGTGAGTTCGAGCCCCGCGTCGGGCTCTGTGCTGACAGCTCAGAGCCTGGAGCCTGTTTCCGATTCTGTGTCTCCCTCTCTCTCTGCCTCTCCCCGGTTCATGCTCTGTCTCTCTCTGTCCCAAAAATAAATAAACGTTGAAAAAAAAAAAAAAAAAAAGAAGGATGGGTTAGGTGTCCCTCACCAGCACCCTTCCCCCAAGCCAAGAGCTATTAAGGAAGTGGGAGAGAATAAAGCCTGAAATAAATTTTAAATCTAAATTTTACTCTAGACTGGACTGGTTTTAAATTTTGGAAAACTGGGAAGTAACTGGAAAGCTAGAAGTTCAACTTCAGCTACTGGTAAATACCAGAAAAATCAAACTCTTAAAAGTATGTTTAAAGGCCTCGATAGAAAAAAAAAAATCTTATTCAATTGAAGTATTCCATTGAGGAAAAATTAATTTATGAGTTTCATCAAATAAGAATATGTCCACATTGAAGAATGGATGTCAGTGGTTTGAAGTATAATCCCAAAGACAATAATGGGGCACTCTTTACAAATGTCATATCATAAATGATGGTGAGGGCACAAAGAACAATATGTGCAAACTAAATTGAACATCAACAGTTCTGACCAAAAGTGATTTGGTAGTATTAAGGATACTTTAATCAATGTATTGCACTATTAGTTTTCTGCTTATAAGTGCATGAAAATGATCTATGATATTTTTTAAACAATGAGTAAACAGATCTAAAAGTTCTGTACGTGGTTCAAAAGTAAAAATATAAGCAATGATAAATCATTGAATCTTTCTTTAATTAACCCAAGCATATACAATGGGTCATCTTATAATTAGTGGCATATTAGGTTTAGTAAAGGAGGGTAAATTCTGGGATGTGAACATAAGTATTGTATCCAATTTCTGAGTCCCCTTGTTAAAAAATAAACTGATAATCTTCACTCTTATTCCACTTTCCTATTCCTTTTTCGTGGTATTTGTGTGTAGTGCTGGCCAGCTCTGACTATGGAGATGAGAGTAACACCTCATGGGACAGCAGACTAGTAATACAGAAGAAATCTGGGGCCCCAGAATATTCCATAAAGCAATGCCACCAATCTAGGCATTTTTCTATATAAAAAGGAAACAAACTTCTATCACATTAAGTCAGGTATTTCTATCATACTAAGACAGTCTATTTGTTACAGAAACTTAACCTACACACTAGCTATTGCAGTAAGTAGCAATTTGATGCTAACATTTGCAATATTTATTATTTTTAGACACGGTATGTAATGTGATTTTTCAAATCACAGAAACCCTAAAAGAAGGTATTATTATTATCCCCAGTTTTTAGAGTTAAGAAAATGTACACTTGTGGAGATTAAGTAACTGCCCAAATCATACATAGAATGGAGGAATTGAAATTTTCCACCCACACAAACTGACTCCAGAACTCTTGCTTTTCTTCACTGGGATATTACTGTTCCCAACCAACACATAGCTTGCTGAAGCATGTTATGCTAGTGCAAAGTTTTGACAGGATACTTTCATATGCCTGTAACTCCATAAATCAATACAAGAAATTTGCACCCAAATAACAAACAAATCATCATAACTTCAATGTAATGTAACCATAATATTGAATGTTTAATCCTAAAAAATAGTTCAAAATATATGAACTAATGCAACATTATCTAAAATTGAAAAGAACAGAAAAAGTAGTATCCAACAACAGGAAAATGGTTAAAGAAAATTAAGCAACACAAACTCAATGAAGTGTTTTGGAAACAAACAAAAACATAACTATAAACATGATGCTGCTGTTTAAACATGTATAACAGAATGCTAAGTGGAAAAGGCAGGTTACAAAGGAAAAGGAAAAAACTGTCTAGCATTTAGTAAGCACTTACTATGTGCCAGGCACTAAATATTTGATATAAAATGCTAGTTTATTTCATCATTACCCTGATAATAAATGGAGAGGATGATTACTCTTTCCCCCACCTCATTTTCCAAATAAGGGAGCTTAAGTTCAGAGACTGCTTTTGCGGTTGCGATCATGCAACTAGAAAGGAATGGTTAGGAATTTTCATCAAGGTCCACATCTTGCCTAAGTATATTCTTTTCTATTATTCCATACTGTTTCTTCAATTGGAGTGTACACTTTGACTGAACTACAGAAAAATATGATTTTCAATAAGGACATGAACTTATAAACATGAAAAAATTAAAAAATGAAAATATGCTGAGATAATAGGGTTAATTTTCTTTTTTTGGAATTTTTTTTAATGGTCAAGAATATCCTTGGTGCATGGGGTGGCTGGGTGGCTCAGTTGGTAAAGCATCCAACTCTTGATTTTGGCTCAGGTCATGAGCTCACAGTTTGTGAGTTCAAGCCCTTCATTAAACTCTATGATGACAGTGTGGCGTCTGCTTGGGATTCTCTCTTTCTCACTTGTGCTCTCTCTCTCTCTCTCAAAATAAATAAATAAACTTAAAACATTTCTTAACGAATATACTTGGTGTCCATAATTGGATACAGGGTATATTCATACCTATGCTTCTCCACTTTTTAAGTATGTGTTATTCTTGCATGAGGTGTAGAGGTTACTAAAAGATAGCACACAATAGATTAGGGACTGACTTTTTGAGTGCATTAGAAAATTGATTCTTAAATCATCTCTAGAAAAAAAAATCTATGTGTGATAGAAAATGAATTTTGGCAGCCATCACATTTAGCTTTTTCAGTAAAACCAACTGCATCAGATTCACTCATGGTCTTTTCCAAACTTGATTCTTGTCCAGTATTGCCTTCCCCAGTGTAGAATATCACCATCTATTCAGTTGCACAAGTCATCTATGACACTTCCCTCTCTCCAAACCATATCCTATCCATCATTAGTTCCTCTCAATGTTATATCTTGAGATCCCCTAAGTGCATCCATTTGTTTCTCCACCAAGGTGTCTTCATTTCTTACCTGAACTGCAACAAATAACCTAGCTGACCTTAGTCCATGCATTCTTGACCTCTTCCAATCTGTCCTTTGTTGCAGCCAGAGTAAATTTTTAAATAGTAAGCTTATCATGTCAGCACATGCTTAAAATACCTTAATGGTTTCCCATTGATCTCAGAATAAAATCCAGGTCTACAAGTCCCCGAGGAATCCTCGATGCCTGCCCCATCTCACTTCCTCCTAGCAGGCCAGGTTACTTCCCATTTCTCAATTGCGGTGTGCTCCCTCTGAAAGTCCTGGCAGATAATGTTTCCTCAACCAAATGCGTGCTTCTCTACCTTACTCCAGCCTTTCCCATTAACATCTACTCATTCTTTACATCTCATTCCAATTATCCTTTCTACAGGAAAGCCATTTCTGATCTTACATAATGACAGGTCTTCTTATTTTCCACTTATATAGTCTAATATGCAATTCTTTCTAGCACTAAACGAATACATTGTTATGATTATTTAATTAATATCTAACTCTCCTAGGAAATTGTAGGCCTCAATAAGGTAAGTATCTTATCTATTTTTGCTCATGGTATATATCCAGAACCTAGCACTGGGCCTGACATATGACAGACATTCAATAAATACTTCTCGTCAGTGGTTAAATAAACTGAATAACAGTGGCACTGATGGTGACCCTAACAGCCATGGCAGAACATGAAACACCTTTGTCCTCAGCCTCTTTGGGTCCAGACGCGTAAGATCAAGATACTTTTCTACTTCAAAACTGTAAGTCATTGAAATTTGCCTTTCCAACCACTTGTTTCCTTTGCTGGCCCTTTCTTCTCCCCAGTTGTATCCCTCCATATGTCCAGTGTCGTTTTTTATTCCCAACTCCTTACAAGATTTTCACTTAGGAGAGCCTGGCTG